TCCAATTCCCAAACTAACCAATTCCCACATTCCCCAATTCCCACTTTTTCCAATTCCCAAACTCACTAATTCCCACATTTCCCAATTTCCACATTCCCCAATTCCCACTTTTTCCAATTCCCACATTTCCCAATTCCCACATTCCCCAATTCCCACTTTTTCCAATTCCTACATTTCCCAATTCCCAAACTCACCAATTCCCAAATTCCCCAATTTCCCAATTTTCCAATTTCCCAAATCCCCAAATCCCCAAACTCCCAAAACTCCCAAAACCTCCACTTTTCGAAAGATCAATCTTCCAGTTCTCAAATCTCCAAATATTAAAATTTTTGAATTCTCAAATTCTTCATCACACAAACCCCTAAATTCTTCAATTCCTAAATTTCCTCAAAACCTCAAATTCCCAATTTCTTAAGTCCCCAAATTGAAATGTTCTACATTTCCAAATCTCCTTGTTAGAAAATTCTAAACTAAAAATTGATTATACCTAAAAATCTATACCTCTATACTTAAAAATTGAAAAATTTGTAAATATTTGAGTGAACGAATATTTTATTCCCTTTCTGCTGTATCATTATTTTCCCCTATAGAATCTAGAGAAGTCTACGATGCTGTAAGAGCTTCTTAAATGTCACCATCACGTGCAGTATGACAACATTGCCTTACTCTTCTACAGTTCACCAAATATAAGCATTCCAACTGAATCTACATTTGCATCTACATTTCCAACTCTAGTAAAAGTATTTTGACATTTCTACAATCTTCTTCTTCGATTTATTCCAATGTAAATATCTTATAAATAGTGGAAGTATTCAGGTAAAAAACCTACCGTCAGCAGGTTCAAACAGCTTAACATCCACAGAAGCATAGTCGTTACAGTAGTTGTCGAAGTTCAATAACAGAAATCACCATGTTGTATCTTTATTTTTGCGTCCTTATTATACGAGTGAATTTCAATTCGGAATCTGTTATGTGTAAATAAATAATTTTATTAAAAGTCACATTTAGTCCACAAATGAAATGAATTGTACTCAGAAAGGATTTTATATTTAGTTAAAATTTTATATTGTTTGACACTTTGACAACCGTAGTGTGTTTTAAAAACGAATGTTATTCAGTCTTCGTTTCGGTGCAAATATAACCAAGATTAAACCCTTATGATTCAAGTTATCCAGTGAACCGTGATTTTCAACTCAAGGTCATGTGAAGGTTATGGTGTTCTTCGCGCCAGCTATAATATTATCAGATCAGAAATATATATTTAGTCTCTTTGAGAAAGGTCAACGTGTTCTTGACTTTTTATTCAACAAGTTTTTGACGAAGTTAACGAATTTCTTAATATAACTTCAATAGTTTTTTAAAAAGTTAATAAGTTTAAATAAACAATTATAATAATAATGAAAATAATAATGAAAAATGATGAACTAGATTGTAAAGAAGGTGAACAATTTTTATGTCAAATTATGAGATTAAAAATTTTTGTAAATGAAACAAAAATGGAGGCCCTCTTAGACTCGCTCTATCTAGATCTTAAAATTAACCATAAATTAATTATAGATACTTCTTTATTTCAATAAATAGAACTGTATTCAAGTTTCTTAGTAATTTATAATTCAGTCAATACATTTTAATTGTAATTCGTCCAGCAGTAAACAAAAATATACAAATGCTTGTAGGATAATGTACTTCTAGAATAATATAATAAGCTACAATATTGAATTGCAATTTTCTTATCTGTAAGAAAGAATAACAAATCTTTGAGACAATTTATGAGTCAACAAAAATAGATTAGTAAAGCAATGTCAAATTTCCACAGTACAATAAAATTAGAATAAATAGTAAAACTCACTAAAACTTGACACCGGTTGTCAAAGTGTCAAAAAGTGACATAATTCATAAAGCAACTTTTCCAACACAATTATGTTAAAAAATGAACAGTATTCCTTGAATATTAAAAAGAAAAGTTCAGTCATTTCTTATGAAAAATTTGAAGAATTCGGGAAATTTCCCAAATTTCATTATATGTAAAATTTCCCTACGAAGGAAATTCTCTATGTTCATTTAATTTCCTTAATTATTGTCACAGTGGAGTTTAAGTTCGATTATTAGCGAATGAAGCTACAACGCGAGGATTAGAAGATTAATTGTATATTTTTAATTGATATCGTATAGTGTATCACCTTCGCGAATATCAACGAAGTGAGCACAAAGGACGCGTTACGGGAACTGAAACAGAATAGATGCTTTATGTTTTCAGAGCTATCGTCCCCCTACTTCTTCGAACGTGTTCACAACGCTTTTCCCAACGAGCAAAACCGCGCCCACGTACCGGTGCAGATAGCCAGTCCATAATTAACGACACTTTAATGCTGGAACGATGATTCTCAAAGGATGTGTCGCAGGAAGATCGAATTTACCGAAATGGCAAAAATACGTTTCCTTAGATACATTAAATGAGCTTTCTTTTCTAGTAAATTACTAGTTGAATTACTTCTTGAGTATGTTATTAATTTAATGATTTCTTAAGTGAATTATTAATTGAATAACTTGTTGAATGAATTACTAAGTAACTTCTTAAGTAAATTTCTAATTGAATCATTTTTTGAATACATTGTTAACTGAGTTCTTAAATAAATTACTAAATGAATAGCTTTTTAAATAAATTACTACTTGAGTAACTTTTTGAGTATATTGTTATTTGAGTAACTTCTTAAGTAAATTACTAATTGAATAGCTTTTTGAGTAAATTGTTAATTGAATAACTTCTTGAGTATATCACTAATTGAGTAACTTCTTGAGTAAATTATTACTTGAATAACTTTTTAAGTAGATTATTAATTTAATAACTTTTTGAGTAAATTACTAATTGAGTAACTTCTTAAATAAATTGCTAATTGAAGAATTTCTTAAATAAACTACTAATTGAGTAACTTCTTAAGTAAATTGTTATTTGAGTAACTTCTTAAGTAAATTACTAATTGAATAGTTTTTTGAGTAAATTGTTAATTGAATAACTTCTTGAGTATATCACTAATTGAATAACTTTTTGAGTAAATTATTATTTGAATAACTTTTTACGTAAATTATTAATTGAATAACTTCTTGAGTAAATTTCAATTAACTAAATTTTTTAATAAATTACCTGAGCCTTAAAATGAATTTTTATTAACTATATTAAAAAACTAGTAATGTAATAAGCTGTTACTGTTAATCATAATTAAATAGTTTTGAAAGTTTACGAGCCACCCTCTCGATAGTATCATAAAAGTGACAGCAAATAATTTCGTTCATTCCTTAGCTAGCTTTAATTACTACCTTGCAAAACATAGTTTCTTTCTACAACACAGTTTATTTAGTAGTAAGTTGTTGCTAAAGTAAACGTTTGGAGCTTGTCATTTCAGTAATTAACTCACTTTAATGTATACACTTTCCGAACTTCACTCGTAAATTTTCAAGTATTGGAACTTCCTAATATATCGCATATGCAAATTAGAGAAATTAACTACATATTTATATCAGCGTGGGTTACTGGACCCATGGAATTCGGTAAAAGTAACTTTATTAACTTTAACTCTTCTTTGATAGATGTTTTTACATTTTAAAATTTATATTCTTAAAAATTTTGAGTGACTTTCTTAATAACAACGAAAAGTAATAAATAGGCAATAGATACTGTAATTTTTTTAAAGAAAAGTTTCTTTTCAATTTAAAGTATCTTTGAAGTTATTAATCTTTAACATTCTACCTTAAAATATATTACTGCAATATTTTTCCTTTCATACAATTTTTGTTAGGAAAAATTTCTTTCAAATTTAAAGTATCACTGAAGTTATCGATTTTTGACATTCTACCTTAAAATATATTACTGCAATATTTTTCCTTTACTACAATTTTTATTAAGAAAAATTTCTTTTGAATTTAAAGTATCATTGAAGTTATTAATTTTTAACATTCTACTTTGAAATATATTACTGTAATATTTTTCCTTTACATGAATCAATTCAATGCAAAAATAGTTAATTTTCTACAAATTATTTTGCACAAAATTTTTCTTATTTTTGCAACAAAAATTTTGTCTAGACCTCTCAATACAAAAATGAAAAAATTCTATTAAATCAAATAATAAATACAATGAATATATTTGTAAATAAATACATTAATACATTTTGTACTAAGATTCCATCGATTCTTAAAATTACAAAAATGTGCCTTAATATATTCTGACTCTCATATGAAAGATATGCAGTTCACGAAAGAAACACGAATGACCTTCAAACATATTTGTCCGCAAAAAAGTTATTTACATTAAATTATGTAAATGTATATTTTTCGATACGAAATTATGAAACACACGACTTGAATAATTCGAGTAGGTATAAACGAGACACTCTGTATACATCGCAGAGTGTAATCGATACGTGCAATTATGTTTCACTAAATATAACATTGTACTTTCTTCGAATTGAATAAAAAAATGTGCTCTAAATATCGACTTTTTGTTTCGTTCATATAACTCGAACGATGAAAGTGGACAAACGTGATCAAAAAACGCACACAAGAAAACCCAATTCATCTTCTTATAGCGATCAATTGACCGAGTTTCACGATCATATTTTCTCCCTCGTTTGCACCGCTTTCACTTTTACGACTGCAGTATATTTTACATGGTGAATGAACGTGTTTGTGTGCGCGAATACTGTAACGTCGCCTTTGACAGTGAAACTTTTATATCGCCGTTTGCCGGGAGAGCGCGATTAAGAAATCGTTCAAAAATTGATTCGAAAAATTCGATACTTTTACTTGAAATAGTGTTGAAAACATTTAATTATATTAATAAGTAACTTTAAGAAGAAGTATGTTTTTAGAAATGTCATATTTGTAGAAATATAGTTGACTCTCGTTATATTGCCGTCGACGGGGTAATACAAGTGGAGAGATTTTGGACGGACACTTCTCTTATTTTATATTCTGAGCTGCAACTTTGAAGGAATTTTTTTTTATACCACATACTTTTTCTAGAGGGGGAGAGTAACAATGTCTGTTATCTCGTTATATTGCCGTCGACGAGGTTATGGGAGTGAAAAGATTTTGGATGGACTCTTTTCTTATTTTATATTCTGTGCTGCAACTTTGAAGGAATTTTTTTTATACTACATACTTTTTATAGAATAAGGGTAACAATTTTTGTCATCTCGTTATATTGCCGTCGACGAGATTATACCAAGTGCAAAGATTTTGAACAAACACTTTTTTTATTTTATTTTCTAAGATGCAACATTGAGGGAATTTTTTACACCTTATACTTTTTATAAGGTGAGTGTGAAAATTTTTGTTGAGTAATCATAATTAGTAACAATCCGCAGAAATATTGTTTCAAGATACGTGCGATTAAGTTTCATCATGCAATTACTCTAAGGATGACGATTGATTTCAATAACTCATAGTTTTGTATCCACCTTGACGCACATATAACATTGTTTGAAACTGACGCAAGAGGAAGTGAATTACAGGAAGCTGTCTTGGAAGCTAATTGAAAAAAATAGAATTTATGACAGAGTTGGGTATTGTTCGAGTAACCTTCGAGTAGAAATTAAAAATAATACGTGTGATATAAAATTCAAGATAAAACAATTTTATTTGAAGAAGTAATTAAAAAATTATTTAAATTTGTGTGGTTTTTTAATTGTTTTTTTTTTTTGTTTAATATTGTATATTAATTGAGAAATGCATTTCAATATTGAATGAAATTAATATGGTACATATGTGTAATATTATTTAGCAATTAATTTATAAAAATAAATTTTAATAAAAACAATTATATAAATTACAATTGTTATACAATAATTGATTAATAAGTATTCTCTTTTTAATAAAATAACGTAGCTTTGATAAGAGAAAATATTCGAATTGAAATTCGTATGTAATCTGTCGGTAAAAAGAAAAATTTGATTAGCGCCATCTAGCGGTTGGTGTTCCGGAGCTACTCCTGGTAGCAGGATCGCAGGAAAGCGAGGAGGTATCCGGAGTATCAGGAGGTTTCCCGCGCAACAGCGCGCATGCGCAGTACAGCCGAGTTCGCGCCACCTCTCCAATATGGCGTCCCATATAATACGACATATCGATGATGGAAAATCATTAATTACTCTCTTCTGGAGCATAATGTATGCATATTTCTAATTAAAAAACATTCAGTAATTTATTATCGACTTTCTCATGCAAAATTCGTTGATATTTTATCCAAAAATAATTAATTATTAATAATTATCGGTATGAAAAATACAATTACGAGATTATAATAATGAATTTTATTTAAGGAGGTTCGTACCGAATTAAACTTTACTTTTCAATGATAAAAGTGTATAAATTATGCTAAGAACATGAGTAATTAATTAATGTGTTTCATTACTTCGATCTATTTTGACAGACGCCATGTTGGAGAGGTGGTACTAGGGTGGCTGTACTGCGCATGCGCGTGAGTGCGCGGGAAACCTCCTGATACTCCGGATACCTCTTCGCTTTTCTGCGATCCTGCTATTAGGAGTAGCTTAAAACACCATCCGCTAGATGGCGTTCACCGAATTTTTATTTTTACCGACCGATTTTGTACTAATGATACATTACCCTTTATCAGTTGAAAACTAGCTAGTAGTTACAATTATTTTGCAGTAAAGTACTGACAATGTTAATCTTAAATTATTCTTTTTTAATCACAGTAAAGTGTTTTTATGGTTCTATAAGTGTTCTATAAAAGTGGAAATATTAGTTTAAAGATGTTTATAATTAATTTTATTTTCATAGATGAAGTTATATTACTTTGTGCACTCAAAACGAATACATAACCTAAATACGAGTAAATCTATATTCGATTTAATCCTTACTCGTTACTTTTGTAATCGAATCACTTTATTTAAAATATCATCAAATTAATAAACTAAAAAATTGTTATTCTTCAATGTCTTTTTATTCGGAAATTCATATTTGAGAGGTTCGAATAATTTGACACTCTTATTTATAAATCGTGTACTAATCTACCCGCCATATAAAAAGTGACAAACAGTATGACACACCTTTCGTTTTTATAAATTTAAAAATTGCATAAAATCTATTAATATATTTCAAGAACAAGTTCAAGTTTCCAAAATATAAGAAAATAAAGAAGAAAATGATTGTTTTGACCTTCTTGCAAGGTCCTCCCGGTTGTGAATATCTTACAACTCTGTTTATAGTATTGCCTACGCAAGTTGAATCAACTGTTTCATGTACGATTGACATGTGGGTTTAAGTTTATGTCATTCGATAATCCCTAAGAAAAATTTTGAAAGTATGGAGTGACGAAAATGGTATTTACCTTATTGTAATCTATTTTGAACTTGGTAATATAATTTTGAGGTCAAGAAAAATTCAATCATTATTACTATGACTCGATTCGTCGCAATAATTCAAAACAACCAAAAAATTCAAATTGACAATATTTATTGTTTCTAATAATTGTTTTCAAGAATCCATAAATTGCAATCGAAAAAATAATAAATTTTCACATCTGTTTACAGTGCATACATGAACAAATATTACAAGATTTAAAATTATCTTGTATTATATAAGTAAAGGAGAAACAAATATAATAGCTACATAATTATCACGGATCTTAACAATTATCTTATTTTTTCAATATATTCGAACCGAGTTAGTGTTATTATATAAGTGTAATTAATTACATGGTCAATTATCTAACATGGGTTCTTAGACAATTATTCTAAATACTAGAAGGGGGTAATTCATATACAATCAATGTTTAATGGGGTAATTATTTTAGAAATAATTAAGATTTAATTTGAAGAAATTGAGAATGTATAAGAAGCTGTATTTTAGTTATTAATTTAAGTTAGACAATATTCTACATTAAATAAACAAATGAACTATACAGGGAATTTCATAAGTGGACTTCTTGTGTTCACACAATATTTTCATACATTTTAAATAACACATTTAGTTATTAATTATAGTTATTAATTTAAGTTAGACAATATTCTACATTAAATAAACAAATGAACTATACAGGGAATTTCATAAATGGACTTCTAGTGTTCACACAACATTTTCATACATTTTAAATAACACATTTAGTTATTAATTATAGTTATTAATTTAAGTTAGACAATATTCTACATTAAATAAACAAATGAACTATACAGGGAATTTCATAAGTGAACTACTAGTGTTCACACAACATTTTCATGTATTTTAAACAACACATTTAGTTTCAATATTATCATTAATTTTAGTACATATATTTCTTACAATATTGTATACACAAATTAACTATAACTTGTTTAAAAAAAAAACATTAATATCAACAATACAAATTTAGTATAAACAGTATAATTTCATACACTTGTTAATTAAAAGATACTTATTTCTCAGAGTAAAATAATAGTCCATAATAATAGTAGAACATAAATGTTCAAACCAAAAATATTATTATTGAATGTCTTTACATGGTATTAATTTTAAGTTTCTCAATAAAAATCGAATCAAGTTATTAATTAAAAGAAAGAAAAAACTTACCAGAAGGAACGATAAGAGTCGTATAGAAAACATGTTCATTGGATACAGTGGACATTAGTGGAACATATGAAAAATAAACCAGTTGAGTTAAGTTCCAGAGGTACAGAGAGCAATCCTCTCACATGTAATCACATCCGACTACTGATCCAATGACGACCATGCTGAAGTCAAATCACAGTTAAAATCCCACATGAACAAGCCTACGTGCCCGTACTTGGGTTCCGTACTTGGAAGACCAAACCGGAGCTACGCCTTCGCAATTTTCCTTTACAGATTATAATACAATCCGATATACACAGCATCCACGTGAACTATAGTGGACGTAATCGATCGAATATATTCTAAACGCCACTGAACTTTGGATGCCGTCGAAAATGATCTCGAATTATTATTCTTGAATAAAAGATTATGTTTGAATTAAAGATTTATTCTCATTTTTTTTTAGATATTTCTTCTTTTAATATTCTTCCTTTGTTATTGGTGTTATTTGGAGGAAAGCAAAAATATTGTAAATTTTTCAGTTTGGTATTGTTGAAAATTATCTCGAATGGACTGTTTATTTTCTTATTCTTAGTTTATTATTTATTGTGGACTGTTTATTGAAAATTTTTTTTGCTTATTTCTATTACTACTATTACTCAAAATTGTTGGATCATTTTTTATTATATTGGCAATTGAGGATGTAGTAATTTAATTTTAAAATACTGCTACAAAATTGTTTGAAAGTACTTGATCCTCTTTCCAACATTTCAGATTGACTCTCGTTCCTTTCTTAATTTTTTCACTAGAAAATTTCTTTACTATTACCACTACTGTCATACATTATTGGATACGATCAAAAACATTGTAAATTTAATTTTGTAATTACTATCCCAAAGTCACTAAAGATATTTTCAGTTAATATTTTCGACGAATCTATAATTTATTTTAATGATATTTCTATTTTATTTTCAAGATGCTTCTACTCTTGTTGAACAAACTTTCTTGTTGAACAAACGAGTATTTGTGATGAAGCAAGACCATTCTCACCAAAATAGGTGATCTTGCAAATCGAGCGTTTACGATAACGGAACGTGCTATTTCGTTTCTCAATCCATCATACCATATTTGCTGTATGATCAATTATTTCTTGAGGATTTCCTATGAATCATTTATTTGCAGATCACTGTCAGTCAAAATTTTTGTGTAACTTTAGTTCCTGTATTTTTTAAAAACGCTGGAATTTTTATACACTTCTTATGTAAATATAAATTCAGTTCATAAGTAAAAATTATTGTTATACTTGAAATTTTATTTTTCAAGCACTGTTAATATATCTGATACTTTATTGCATGATGACTAATAATCTACTAATAATAAAATAATAATAAACTACTAATAATCTACTAAAAATAAAATGATAATAAACTACTAATAATAAAATAATTATTATGACACTTTGAATAAATATCCCACAGAAGAATATAAAAAATAAATTATTATAAAAAATATTTCTTTTATAGTCCAGTTAATCGTTAGTGTAACAGGAATGAATGAAATGACGTCAGTGTTATTCTGAGCTAAATAGATTTCCTTGCGACGCTCAACTTTACCTTCACTTTGTCCTTGAACACATTTCACACTTACCTAGACCTATGTAAGTAGTTTAATGAATCTGTAACGAGTCCGTTAGTTGTATAATTATGCATATTACCATGAATCTTCTTCGTAGCGTATTAATTAGAACACTATAATACCTTGACATTAAAAAGTTATACTGCTCTTATTCCTTGACATTAAAAAGGAGTGCTTGAAGAAAAATTATATACTGTCTTCATCACATGCAAACCTCTGTTATTTGAATTAATGGTGCAGTGTCAGAGTTTCATTGAGATTTCAAATTTTTAAATTTAAACATTTAAACATTAAACATTTTTAAATTTATAAATTTGATAATTTGTAGTTAGAATTTTAATAATAAGAAATTTATAAATTTTAGTATGAATCAAGCTAATAATTATAAAGATCTATTTAATATTGTATAAATAAATAATTAAATTAAAATTGATGCATTGACACAAGTATTTTATTTACCACGTAAATAATTCGGCAGAAAATTCATATATTATATGAATTTAAATATAAATCAAAATATAACAAAATTGAAAAATTGCGACTGGAATTTGAAATGTAAGTATAACCTTAAATATCATTTTTTGATTAATTTATTGAAAAAAAATACAAATTTAAATTGTACCTATAATTTCAAACCTAAATTAGATAATAATTGATTATTGTTTATGTGCAAATCGTATAAACCAACTACCACTCTTTATTTTTAAACTCCATTTGAAAGTTTATCAGGAGAACAGGACTTAAATGATTGTATCGCAAACGTATCAAATTTATGCAAAGGTACGCAGCTCATTGAAATTCTGTAACCGGGACGAATGAAGCAAAACAAGAAGTGAAAAAGAAAGAGAAACGAAGAGAGTCTTGAGCTTCAGCTCAGAAAGGGTACAGTTCCTCAAATCGAACCGATGTAACCTTCTGAATCGCTGTCAGTTTATTGTCTGTGATTTTTTTATTTAGAATTCGTTGACTGCACGATCGTGGAAGTATAATGTACACGCGACTGAAGAAATGTGACGCTATAACGAGAAAGAAAGCATGTGTTAAATTTTACTGTGATTTAGCAAAGTGCGAAGTTGAAACAAACGAAATTCAAGCTAAACCTTTCAAAGATATCCCTGGACCAAAATCGTTGCCTGTTATTGGAACACTTTACAAATATCTGCCTATAATTGGTGAGAAAATTAATCTTTTACTTTGTGGTAATATACTATACATTTTTATATACTTTGTTTTATATATTTTGTACTTACAATATAAATATCTACATGTATAAATATATAGCGCAATTTCAGTCTAATTTTCATGCTTTTTTAAATCGGAAATAATTTTGTTGATAATGCAATTTGATTATGTTCATATTTGATTTGACTAACAATATGTAGGTGAATACAGTTTTACAAAAGTGTATGAAAGTGGAAGAAAAAAATTCAGTCGATTTGGACCGTTAGTGCGTGAAGAAATAGTGCCTAATGTAAATGTGGTATGGGTTTATCGGCCAGAAGATATAGCCGAAATTTTCAGAGCCGAATCAGGTTTACATCCAGAACGAAGAAGTCATTTAGCTCTTTTAAAATATCGAAAAGATCGTAGCGATGTGTACAGAACCGGAGGCCTATTACCCACGTAACTATAATTATTTTCTGAACTCAAAAATTATAATTTTTATTTAATTCTATTGCTTGATTATTATTCACTGTTTTATATTTAATACTATAATAACTATAATACATTATAATAAAATTTATAATTTATTAATTGTATAAAATGTAATTAATTATTTATTACATTTATCATTATAAACCATTTAAGTATAAAATGTACCTGTAAAAAATTGATAATCATATCTTTTTTTGCACAATTATATATTTGTATACAAATGAAATAACTTTTCCTTTCCAAGGTAATTGTTAACATTTTATTAATTACTTAATTATATATTATAAAGAATAATTATTAATTTAAAACAGAGTGAATAAAGTTTTGTATTTATTAGACGTATGCTATTTGACTGTCATTCATAGAACATTTTTTTCATATAATTTTTTGCTAATTCTAGAAATGGACCAGAATGGTGGCGATTACGAAAAGAGTTTCAAAAAGTTAGCAGCAAACCTCAAGACATAATCAATTATTTGGAAGAAACAAATTGTGTTGTCCAAGAGTTTGTTAAATTATGTAGCAGTGAAACATTTGATGACCTTTTACCAATTTTATCACGCTTATATCTTGAATGTAATAATGTATTAATCTTATAAACAATTACAAAATAGTTTCTTTAACAGTATTCTTCTTAATAATAATTTGTATATCTTTTTCAGTAACATGTTTAATTGTATTTGATACAAGACTGAATAGCTTCTCAAAAGAGGAAAGAGAAAAAAATTCAGTAAGTTCAAAACTAATTGAGGCTGCTTTTGCAACAAATAGTGCAATTTTAAAATTAGACAATGGATTACAATTTTGGCGTATTTTTGAAACACCATTATACCGAAAATTGCGCAAAGCACAAACATATATGGAAACGTAAGTAATGTCTGTAAACAGCATAATTATTAATACATGACAAACTTTATGTTTCTTTAATACAATTAGGGTTGCATTAGAATTAGTATCCCGTAAACAGAAGGATATGCAAGCAAGATGTAGTAAATCATTTCTGACTGCCTATTTGGAAAATCCTGCTTTGGATATTAAAGATGTTGTGGGAATGTCTTGTGACATGTTACTTGCTGGCATAGACACTGTAAGTTAAGTACCACCTTATGTAACATCAAGTAATTATCAATAAATTGAACCATAAACTTATAATCTTTTAGACTACTTATAGTACAGCTTTTGCTTTGTATCATCTGGCAAAAAATCAGAGCAGTCAAGATAGATTAAGATCCGAAGTCATGCAGTTGTTACCCAAAACTGATCAACCAATAACAGCGGATGTTTTACGAAATGCAACTTACACCAAAGCTGTGATTAAAGAAAGTTTACGTCTAAATCCTATTTCTGTAGGAATTGGACGCATTTTACAAAATGATGTTGTTCTCAATGGATACCAAGTACCTAAAGGAGTGAGTTTAAAAAACGGTTGAATCTTATGTTTCACTTTCATTTACTTTTTGTTCTTTTGTTTTTACCTTTATAGACTGTGGTTGTAACACAAAATCAAGTCATTTGTCGACTTCCTGAATATTTTAACAATCCAGACTCATTTATACCAGAAAGATGGCTTCGTGAGAATGTAGATAAAAGTAACAAGGGAAGTTCTGGGAAACCTGTTCATCCTTATACATTAATACCTTTTGGTCATGGTCCTCGTTCTTGTATAGCTAGACGATTTGCAGAACAAAACATGCAAGTGCTATTGTTGCAGGTACTTACCATTGAATCAACTTGAAACGTAAAATTCTGTTTTCATAAATATTTTAATTTCACGTTATGCAGATGTGTCGGCATTTAAAATTTGATTGGATTGGAGAAGAGCTTGGTATAACATCTTTATTAATTAATAAACCAAATGCACCAATAAAGTTAAATTTTCACAAAATCTCAAAAACAACATGCAAGTGAAGAATTGTTTCAAATAATAAAAATTTATAGAAATAAAGAAAATATAGTATTAAGCAAAAAGATGTTTCAATTTATTATGCTTCATTTTCATTGATCAGCAATACAATGATATGGTGTTTATATAAATATTTATTTTAGAACCAATCATAAAGTTTATAACGAACTTAGTTGTAAGTCATATATTTGGGAGTTGCAGAGAATTTAGCATACGATTTAATCACTTTGTTCACTGCTTCTAGGAAATCTTTTTCTGTAGCTACTTTACGACGCGCACGAATCGCGAACATACCAGCTTCGGTACAAACTGAACGAATTTCGGCTCCGGTACTGTTAGGACACAAACGAGCAAGGAGTTCAAATCTAATATCTCTTTCAACACTCATTGAACGTGCATGAATTTTGAAAATGTGTGTTCGTCCTTCTAAGTCCGGTAGTCCGAATTCTACTTTTCTATCCAAACGTCCTGGACGCATCAATGCAGGATCTAGCGTATCTGGTCTATTTGTTGCCATCAAAACTTTAATATTACCTCTTGGATCGAAACTGAAAAGTTCAAGGTTATACATATATACTTATTGAACACCTCTCATAGTAACAATAAAAAGAAAAATATTTTTTTTACCCATCAAGTTGGTTTATAAGTTCGAGCATAGTACGCTGAACTTCATTGTCACCACCAGCCCCATCATCGAATCGAGCTCCTCCAATAGCATCAATTTCATCGAAAAATATTAAACATGCTTTTTTGCTACGTGCCATTTCAAACAATTCTCTGACCATACGTGCACCCTATTATTAGAACACATATTCCTTTTATCAATATATACTTATATATAAATAGATATCCCATATTTTCATTACACCTACCTCACCAACATATTTTTGAACCAATTCAGAACCAATAACACGAATAAAACAAGCATCTGTTCTATTAGCAACTGCTCTGGCACATAAAGTTTTGCCTGTGCCTGGTGGTCCAAACAACAATACACCTTTAGGTGGCTCAATACCCAAATAAACAAATTTTTCTGGCTGTAATAGATAAATTGAGTTTTAGTAATTATTTTATTATATAGAAAGAAACACAAGACAGCAACAATACAATACTAACATGTAACAGAGGAGTCTCAACAACTTCTCTTAATTTCTCAATTTGTTCTTTACAACCACCAACATCACTGTATGTGACATCAGGTTTCTCTTCAACTTGCATCATTGTTACAGTTGGATCAATTTTGGGTGGTAAAGGAATATGAATTTGATATTTGTTGCGGTCCACCCCCACTCTCATACCCTCTTCAATATCGGTTGGAGCAACTGAATCAGCTAAATCAACTACGAACTTTGCAAACTGTTTTACATTTATAACATATTTTGGATCTTCAGAATCTGCATTGATTATTTTAGTACAACGAGCAACTTGTAATGGTTGTTCATTCTGTAATGTCTGTTTGTCTGCAGCTAAATCCCACAGAGCAGGAGGAGCTAAACCAGTATCAGACTCCTTGATTCCTGTCAACTCATTGACACGTTTTATTATCGTTTGAATATCCTCTTCTACAGTTTTAATGCTTTTAGTATATTGTCCTTGTCCCTGTACAAGTAAATTACGTATTATGTATTTCATCAGTATTAATCCATATTTACTATCATAAAAAACTTATTTATCCAAGTTAATTATTTCTTTTGTAACAAAGGGTACCAAACTTCTACACTTACATAAGTTTTGAGCAAAGCAATATCTCCTTCGTCAAGAGCTAAAAATTTAGTGCACAAAAGTTTAGTAAATATAATGAACTATAATAAATAAGCACGCTCAAAGTTCTTTAAACCTCACATTTTATTTCCTTTTCTTCTTTATCATCTTCACTTTTCACTTTTCTCATATCCTCTCCCAAATGGTCAGGCATTTCTGAATTTTTTAAGTTCTTCAAAGTATTTAACGAATAAAGGTATTGCACCTTTTAAGAATGCTATGTCAGATTTTAGGTTATATCTTGCTTACATTACTAGCAAAATCGACAACTTTTATCACTGACCTCTGTGTTTCAAGTTGGAACTAGAATCACAGACAAGGTACTTACATGAGCCACCTGTGTCAATTCTACTGCGCATGCAAAGTGCAATATTTCAGCACTTTGACGACGTAGTATGGTTCCTGAGGCATTTAGAAACAAATTTCTATTAGGGTTTGATGCGTTTTGATGCCTAATAAAGTCAGAAAATCAATTTTTGTAGAATTCGGTCCGAAACATTGATTTTCAAATATTGATTTATAAAAATTGATTTTCTGGCTTTATTAGGCATTAAAACGCATCAAACCCTAATAGAAATTTATTTCTAAATGCCTCAGGAACCATACTACGTCGTCAAAGTGCCGAAATATTCATTTTTTGTTCTCCTTCTTTGCGTGTTCGGACCAGTAATGGACAGTCTCAGCGCATGCGCAGTAAGCTATCCGTACAAGTCCTCAGTAGCGTATACACTTTGATTAAATATAAGGTATCATTAGGCCCTAATGAGGAAAAAAAAATAAATTTGAAGAAAATTGCAGAAAAGAGAATAAAAGGGTTAAATAATACAACAGATTATATATAATAAAAGTAATATTAAATTTATTTATAATTATTATTATTAAGCATATTACGACTACTATCATCGCTGGAACTGCAATTATCCTTACTACTTCTATTATTATCAATATTATTGCGCATATTACTACTTTTATCATCATTAACCCTATTATTCTTATTATTATCAATATTATTACGCATATTACTACTTTTATCATCATTATCCGTATTATTCTTATTATTACCAATATTATTACGCATATTACGACTACTATCATCGCTGGAAGAGCAATTATCCTTACTACTCTTATTTTTATCTATATTATTACGCATATTACTACTTTTATTATCATTAACCTTATTATTCTTAATACTATCAATATTATTACGCGTATTACGACTACTATCGTCGCTGGAACTGTAATTATCCTTACTACACTTATTTTTATCTATATTATTACGCATATTACTACTTTTATTATCATTATCCTTATTATTCTTATTATTATCAATATTATTACGCATATTACGACTACTATCGTCGCTGGAACTGCAATTATCCTTACTACTTCT